ACACCGGTTTTGAGGAGTGTATATTTACTTTACCTGAAGGGCGTAACTCTTACACCAGTTCCGGTAGGCGATGTTTGGGATGTTTACTTTACCTGTAGGGCGTAACTCTAACACCAGTTTTGGGTAGGCGATGTTTGGGATATATACTTTACCTGTAGGGAGTAACTTACACCAGTTTTGGGTAGGCGATGTTTGGGATATATACTTTACCTGTAGGGAGTTACTCTAACACCAGTTTTTGGTAGGCGATGTTTGGGATATATACTTTACCTGTAGGGAGTAACTCTAACACCAGTTTTGGGTAGGCGATATTAGAACATCCCGTAGGGTTATCACATATTCTCATACACTCGTCAGGGTCGACACAGGCCACTTCGTCTACAACAGGAATGGATGCTATATATATATATATATATATATATGTACAATTTTTTCAAATCGTCCGCTAGGCCTTTCTGCCTTCTAGGGCTTCTTCAGGCGGATTGATGTTTGAAAATGTTGATATATCTGAAAAAAATGTTTTTATTCTATATTTTCCTTCGCAAGGACTTATTTATTTATTATCTACATATATATATATATATATATATACAAGATGAACTCATATGAATAATGTGATTTCTTTAATGTTAGGTAAAACAATGATCCGATATTTGGAGTTAATGACACAGAGCTCAAATATTGTAGTGGTCAATTAAGAAACGTTGTTTAATTCAAAAAGGATTTTGCAATTATCTGTAAAGAAATTTACAATAATTCGACACAGTTGCTGGCATAAGTTACAAGATATCGATCGCGATCATGATTTACCTGTGAACAACACACGACTGACGAGTCCGGGTATGATCATGATGAACATAGGTAAAATCTTAAGGGCACTGGCTAGTACTGCTCCCGCCTTGGCTTCCTGTAGTGTGCTGGCTGCCAGGTATCTCTGGACGATTACCTACAGTAAACACAGTTAACCTGTATAATCACTTCATTAGCATCAATCGCAATATGCAATTGATTTAAAACAAATTATATTCTAATTAGTATTTTGACAAGCTTTATCTTTATATATGTATTTAAGTGAAATGGAAAATGGAGTACAACGAACATTTTTTATTCCTAAAATCTTTAAAGAAACAAATAAAAAGAATCTTTGAAAAGTATCTAGTACCTTAATTCAAGCAATTTAGTTTTCATAGAAACAGTTTTCCGATTGGTACATTATGTGTATGTACCTGGTCTCCACACCAGTAGAACAGACTGCCCACTGTTGCCATAGCCAGGAGTCCAGTCCATGGCATATCTCCGGCCACAGGATCGTGGTACAAAGAGAACGCGTCAGTATTAGGGAAACCACAAGTGCTGTTGTCCTGGAGAACACTAGGTATGGCAGCCATGTACCGTTCCCGTAGCTCTGTCCAACTGCCAACCTTAGTATAACCTGAAGGCACACTTAACGTCAAATGACTTCAATCCAACGTTAAAAGTGACCACAGACAGAATCACACACAAACATTTTTTACCACACGATATATCAAACCCTATTTCCGGCGGATACAATAAGGACGATACTAAGACATATACGCAGTTTAATTTGTCTATAATTCACCTCATTTTGTTTGTTTGTTAAAATCATATAATATAAAGTTACAAAGCTACCAAGATGGATTGATGATATATCCATTGACGACGTTGCTCCTTTATCATGTATTTGTCTACTGCTATGTTTACGCTTGTTAACGTTGTCCTAGATTGTTCGTGATTTCGATTGTCCCCAGTTTTGGCTGTTTCCATGGCTTCTCGTGGGGTTGATTGATGACCTCATTCATTATTTAGATGTATCCTCAGTTCTTGTCATTAAACTATTTGAGTTTGAGTTTCAATCGATATTATATAATCATATCGATATCGGTTATTTTTATTTGAACCACTTACGACTTCAGGGTTATTTCAGACCATGCTCTATTTTCGAATTGACGTGATTTTTAACGGAGGCTTTATTTATGTTCATTCGTCCTATTCTCGTCCTGTTTTGACAATCTGTATTAACTGAATACGCTAGTAGCTAAGTTGTATCGTCATGGTGTTATGCATAACCGTGTGTTCTGTACTTACAGATACCGGCTAATATAAAGGACCCAATCATCATTATGACGGTTTGTAGTGTATCGGTTAACATAACCGCCGCTAGGCCACCTATAATATAACAAATCACAATGCAAGAATAGAAAACACCCAGAGATGAGGTGGCCATAATCAGGCAAAAATGTAAGTATATATGACAGCTTATCAATACTTTACATAAATAACTTTTAATAGAACACAACATAAGTATGGCCCCTTATCACACCGATCTTCTATGTTTCGTTTTAAAATAACAAACTTACGTCACACTTCTATAACATTTTTATAAAAAGAGGCCCAAGGGCCTTAGCGGTCACCTGAGTTATATTATAGGTACTTGTGGCTCAATTTCATTGTTGGGATGTACAAAATGTGGAAAACAACATGTAAACAAAATGAAATACAATACGTGTCATGTCACCAAAGGATAAGAACTTTAAAAACTATTCAAATAGATTATTTTGCTATTGAGAATTACACCCTCTCCCCAAGGGAGAGCAGATGACCTGGGAATAATGAAATTTACAATTTTAGGTAATGGCAATAAAGGTAAGGACGAAGTCTGACGAAGAAGATTTTTTTAACTATAATCTCCATATAGGCCCAACTATTCCAGCCTGGGATGGGGCAGGATCTTATTTTCTCATACCATTTGATTGCCATCTGGCATCATAATCATTCCAACCAAGTTTGAATAATTCCCTGCTGAAAATGGACAAAATATACCCAAAAGTGTTATTTCCCTATATAAATTATAGTAAACTTTACCCCCTCCCCAAGGGAAAACGGATGGCCCCGGGCTGCTGAAATTAACAATTGTAGCCTCATCTACTAAGGATGATTATGACAAAGTTTGAAACCTTTCCATCCTCTTGTTTTTGAGAAGAAGTCGAAAATCTAAAAAGTTTACGCACGAAGCACGACGGTCGACGGACGATGCACAACGACGGACGGAAAGCGATCAGAATAGGTCACTTGAGCAAAGCTCAGGTGACCTAAATAAACAAATGTCTTATCCTCACCAATAGGCCAATCATACAAGGATACACACTAATGACAATATACCTTACACATATTAGCAAAGACCCGGATGACACTTTACAGCAAATAATGTTGTACAGTCGTACAGTGTTGTAAACACTATTATATCGCGTGACTACAAATATTTTGTGTTACTTAGACCTGAAGATGTACCTACCCAACACTGTGTAGAATGCGGTGACGAGCAGCAATACGGTGACTGATAAGTACATATTCCACCCTGTGGCTAGTTGTATAAACAACGACCCAGCAAACATGTTGGCCTGTTACAGAAATCAGGTACGTTTATAATAATAAGTGATTGTTGTGGTTTACACCACTCTACCGCTTTGTATGTAAACTAGTTCAAGTACATCTCAACCTTGTGTAAAATATCATATTTGTATATTAGGTATTAGTAAAAAAATCATTTCACGGGAAATAATACGACATTACTTAATACAAATAATTTAAACTTCATTGATAATTAAGTCGACAAAGTGTAATTCTGATAAAATACTTTAATTATCTGTTTAGGGAACATTTTGTATTTTATATCTCGTAACACCTACGGCGAGTTTGTTAGCGATGGCGAAGGTGAGGGTCATCACTACAAAGTAGTTACGGATTTTTCTGCTTCCAAATCTCTTTTCAATGTACTCTGGGATGGTATAAACCTGCGTAAAACAAAGAATTATGTAAATCAAATTGCCATTTTGTCCATTAAGGAAAAGTAAAGTATAACTAAGAATCCATGTCCCGTTTGTACCGAAACGTGTGCAGAAATACCTCAAAAGGGGAAAGTTGTCAATAAAATTCTTTAAAACGTTACAAATATAAAACGTTAGATATTAATTATAACTAATATTGCCTACTTCAAGGACTGAAAACGTCTAACAAGACCTGTACATTTTATTAAATGATGCGTAGGAAGTATACTTACCCCTGCTGATATGAAAACAGGCACGAAACACCATGCACACAGTACCAGGAGGTATATCGCCTAGTAAAGATGGAGAATAAAGGATCGTAACATTGTCTAGTCCGGTTAGATATGTTGTAGCGTTCGGTATACAAAAGAAACAAGAGTGCTGAAGTGTCAACAGAGCCGTTATTTAAATTCAAATCGATAAACTCGGCAAAATATTAACATAGAAAATATTTACAGTGAGACTCTTGAAACAGTACAAGAAGAACAAACACTTGTCCTGTATTCATGAAATCATTCTTATGCTCGTTATTTGATTCTTAGCTATACCCCATTTTCTTGTTTCGGTGATAAATTAATAAGCATTGACAATGGATTTATGATTTTGAATAAAATCTGAGAGACTTTAACCCCAATACTTCAATGTCAAAATTGTCTTTTCGACTGTGTTACGTGGTTTATACAAGAAGTAAGAAAGCTGGTTTGAGCACAGAACTAATGCTTGAGCATGATACCAGCTTCATGAATACAGGCCTTGGTCCAGAAGGAGTTTGCACCGGTTCTGAAATATACTATATTACACTTTAGGAAGGAATAAAGTAAATTCCCAAAACAGTTAGCTTTGAAATCAATAGTAGGCGTTTATAACATTTTCATACAACTTACGAGCCACTCAAATAATATCATTGCTATGCCTGTTGAAACTGCAGCGCCTGCCAGTCCTATAAAATGTTCACTCCCAATATTAGTGGCAAAAATAGAGGAACCTACCTGGAATAAAGGAAAGCAACATATCAAATAATGTCAATTTCTACCTTGTTGATATCAATCGTCAAGACAATCTATAAAATAGAAAAGAAATTGATACCAAAACGTAAACACACAAAATGTAATCCGAATTAAAAGTTAATGTAAAGAAAACAATACTCCATTGTTAGCATATTCAGAACCCTGTGTAGCACAGAAAAAAAAAATATCTGAGAGAAAACAAGGGTATCATAATATGTAAAAGAATGTTGTTCCCAAATTTGTAAGCAGAGAAAAGTAAAACCACATTAACGCATAAAATTATACAAAAGTATATAAAATGATTGTTATCTTTTATGCAACTGATTGAGCTACTAACGCAAACAGGGCTATATATTAGTGTGCCTAGAGAAATAATTCACCAGAGGAAGTTTGTACTGGGTAAGCGTTTGCACTATTAACAAATTCGAGGAATTGAAAACGTCCATTATGGTTTTGGTCACGTTTCCATGTTATATTATCTTTTCCCCTCTTTTAGTATAGACACGGAACCTGAACCTTACATAGAAGATTTAAATAAGACATATTGATTATCAGACATTTGAAATTTTCTCATTCATAAAGCAACACATTTTGCTGAGGTATGTGCTGATGATTAAGAAGATGATGAGCCGTTACGTATACCAAAACGTTCAGCCCTCAAAAGTCACAAAAAGAGGAACGTACCAAATAAGAACCAGAAAATAATTGAAAGATATATCTTAAGGCCAAACTTGACATATATTATCCAGCAATGGCTTGAAGCGATTCCACATTAATTAGTTACTGCAGACGACTGCGTATTATGCATGCGGTTCTTAGGCATATAACTTAAACAACGTCATAACGATCACTGCAATGATGTGGATCATCACCGTAGGATATAGTGATATACAATATCTGATTATGAGGATGCGATGAACTATTTATTTAGGAAAGGGAACCATTCGTTACTCATGTAACCAATGATATTACGCCAAGAGGACCAGAAAGCCGCGCCAACATATTTTTTGAAATTTTATCTAAAATATGTGAAATAGTTATGTTTACAATAATCCAAGTCATCATAAATATACCAAACAAAGTTTGGATATAAATACTCAAGTGTTAAAAGTCGATATCACCATAGAAGACCACATGTGTAATGACGGGTCAGTACTTTGATAGTTCCAGTCCCATCTTATCGACAAAACAGGCCATCTACGAGTTCTCCAGTTATTTTACAGAATTACATTTGTTTACTATTTGAATTCGGAAATTAGAAATACACAAGCAATAGAACCGAAACTACAGGGGTCGAACTCAGAACCTTTACATTGCAAAGCCTACAATTAGTCAACAAGCTCCGAGTTGAATTCTTCATCTGGATAATAATTGCTTGGAGAAGTAGTACCATTTACCTTAAACCATATATCTTTATAGTGCATATGTAAGTGTTTCTAAAGTATTTCCTAAGAGGACGGACAAACACTCTTTGAAACATACTGGGACACGGCTATTTTACCAACACTTTACAAACATGCGATTATACGAAGGAAAAAACGAAAGCAAAGGAATTCTATTTGAACATTAATGAAACGACTCGTGGAAAGCGTGATATTACTAAAGCAGTTGTCTTTGGCAAAGATGTCAGATTGCCTCTAAGTCTAAATGTCGTGGATTCCGTTGATCATTGTAACATGTTTACTTCAGTCCCACTACTCTCGGGCAAAGACCAGGAAACAATACAGAAACCTTGACATCGTTATCAAAGTGGTGTAGTTGTTACAAACTTACATCATGCTGTCCATTTATATTAGGAGAACGACGTAACAGGACGGCATTTTTGTAACAATACATCTCATATCCATACTGGCCATCTCTACTGCGAATAAGAATGTTATGCTGTCTTTGTGCCGTGCTAAAATAACCCCAAAGGCACTCCACCATTATTACGAGTCTCTATAGACCAGCAGACATTGCCGACAGAAGCGCTGACAAGGATGATACTGACAGAAAGGAGGGGTAACAAGACAACGCCGTAAATATATGTATTACTCGTAATGGCGGTTAAACTTTTAGTATATGAATATCAATTAACTTTTTGTTATGTATGTTGAGAACATAAACGGAAATATAAGTCGAACAATAAAACATGAACACACAACAAATTTAGTTAAATGATGTGGAAAGTCCCCCTTCCATTTTGCTTTAATGAAACCACAGCACAATTAATAGGGTATGTCAAGGGGCAAAATAAAAAGGCTCTACTGGACTCCTTCTTTTTTTTGCATATCATGTTGTAAACCTGTTGATATCAAAGTGCAAGAAAGACTCCTTCTAAGAATAATACTTCTTCCAAACTGTAGGTCCAGATAGACCGTGTGACGTATTTACGTAAATCCCGCCTAATACAAACTGTAGGTCCAGATAGACCGTGTGACGTATTGACGTAAATCCCGCCTAATACAAACTGTAGGTCCAGATAGACCGTGTGACGTATTGACGTAAATCCCGCCTAATACAAACTGTAGGTCCAGATAGACCGTGTGACGTATTGACGTAAATCCCGCCTAATACAAACTGTAGGTCCAGATAGACCGTGTGACGTATTGACGTAAATCCCGCCTAATACAAACTGTAGGTCCAGATAGACCGTGTGACGTATTGACGTAAATCCCGCCTAATACAAACTGTAGGTCCAGATAGACCGTGTGACGTATTGACGTAAATCCCGCCTAATACAAACTGTAGGTCCAGATAGACCGTGTGACGTATTGACGTAAATCCCGCCTAATACAAAGTGTTATTTGCGATATTGAGAAACCAGTTCTCACGTCAATATTGCCGAAATTAAAGTTAAAATAGAGTTGTATTGCATCGTTTGTTTTCCAAAATGACGACTAGGTGTAGTACAATATCTGACAATCTGTTAAAATAGTAATGGCGTATTATACGTATTGATTTCGATTGTTACAAACAGGCCACAACTCACAGGAAAACTGTATGGCAGATAAACTTACCACAAAAACCATGGCATCGAACAGATAAACTTACCACAAAAACCATGGCATCGAACAGATAAACTTACCAAAAAACATGGCATCGAAGAGATAACCTTACCAATATCAACACCAGTAACAGATAGTTCTACCACAGATCATGACAAATATGTGATAAAGTAACCACAAACCGGGTCATAGAACAGATAAACTTTCCACAACCGGATCAATGTAAAAATTAACTGACCAAACAAATGCCAGTTTACAAATAAATTTTCCACAAACCGGATCAATGAATATATTAACATACCAAATCAATGCCAGTTAATAGATAAACTTTCCACAAACCGGATCAATGTATAGATGAACTAACCAATTAAATGCCAGTCAACAGATAAACTTACCACAAACCATGCATCGAACAAACCTTAAAGTTACCTTTAAAAAAAAATGTAAGCAGAAAAACTTACCACCAGTTTGTGCAACCAGGTTATCGAACTGATAAACTTACCACAAACCATGGCATCGAACGTCCGGCCAGGAAATAACTCTGCACGTTTCCACGATTTGATCTCCTCATGGACTAGGAATAACAGCAGAATAATTTTAGAATGATTGTAGTGTAATTCCTGAGAATGAATTATTATCTATAGATCTTAAATTTAATCTATTCAAAATTCAATTATCTAAATTCAATGTTGTTTCGTGCTGTAATTTAGCGGTACTGTGGTTAGTACGGTAGGTTAAAAAATACCGGGCCAGATATCAGTTTGTTGAACAAGAACTCGATCCTGAAATAAATCCTTTGCAAATTAGGAACCAAATAACAAAGTTCATCTTATTCGGGGCCTTTGTTTGTTACAACACATGATCGATGTCTATGATTGGTCCTCATTTCTTATATACAGTGTCGATACAAATCTGTAGTTCATAATATTTATTACAGTAAATAGTAATGTTGTTTGAAGCGTCGATAGCTACGGGGACCTCTGTAGAGCTTAAAGAAGCTAACTAGGAGATTGAACGATCGGGTCCTGATCAATGATAGGTACACGGGAACGGGACATTTCTATGTTTCTCCGTGCATGTGTTTTAAATACAAAGCTTACCCATAATCCCACAGCCAACACTACAGCAAAGTATAGGAAGAGAACCAAGATATCTGCCCAGTGATCCAGTTTGCTCTTCATTGTGTAACACTTGTCTGGGTGTCTGTAATAACCAACTCATCATGTTCTATACAACAATAATTGCATTGGTGTTATGGTATCATTGAACTTCCACCAGATTCTTAGATGATAAGGTATGCCATGAAAGTGGTAGCTGACAGGATAAATACGTGTCGATTCGGACGTTTGCTTATAAAATCACGTTGTATCTGATAATCTAATACAATTTCACAGAGAAAAAAGCAAACTGTATAGAATATTTTCCGTTTTTGTATGAATGCCTGTAATAATCCCTCGAGTAGAGCGCACACATTTCTGAGAGTGTTAAACAGGGAAAGATATTTTTCAACGCTAACGTGATATTCAGCCAGACACAATAATGATTTATCATGTGTCCATTAAATAGGTGCTTGGCAAACAACGTTAAGTCTATCATAATTGCACACATATTGACTTATTACGGTTTGCTGTTAAATAATACTAAGCAAGCGAAATACACATGATGTGTATCAATTTTTCGACCTAGGACCCTAATTAAGAACACGCCGTGCCAGGTGAGGAGCCATGTGTTACTCACACAAGTAAACGCTACTTGTTTTAACACTACAGGGGTTTAACCAACTTACGTGGGTAGTGTATCGGTATTCATTGACGACAACGTCTTAATTAAAAACATTGCATGCGTTATCTTTGATAAATGTCGACTTTTTTTTTTTAACAAATAAATTTATTTAAAGCTGATTAAACGGGAAGATGAAAAAAAAGTAAGATTTAAAAAATACGTACGAAAATTATCAAAAAGTGTACTAATTAAAATTCAAGTTAGTACATGATGAATGAATTGATAATAACATTTTACTTTAATACATATATACATCTGCTCGCGTTAGTGATGTCATCTGCGGAGTTACAGTCCTTACCACAAGAGGAGCTAACGAGCACGTAGGAAGCACGTGTTCCAAGCAACATGCAAATACGTACCTGCGTAGTTCTGCCGTTTAAGATATCTACTGGTACTGTAGAATGACAGAGATAGTCCTTTAACCGTCTCTAATTGGTGGTATATCTATAAATATGCACCAACTTCCTTGCTAAACTGTATCTTAATTTCAACTTGGTTTTTGATATTTAGACCTAATCAGATCTTACAACACATATGATCGTGCTTTTCCTGCATCAGGCCACGTCAATCACGCCGTAGTTCTCTTCTGGTTTTATCATGTCTGGAATGCAGCATGGTATTACACAGCAGTCTAAAAACAACGTATGCTTATCCTCTTGTCACTTTCCGTAACAGCTAAGGGTTTGAGTGAATACTTTTCATATAGTAATACTCATTTATCACTCTACCACGTATGTGACGCAACGAAACTTTTCATTATTGAATGATAAAACATGTATTATTTCCCAACAGACCATGCATGTGAAACGCTCATCAAACATCCCCGTATTGAAAATGCAAGCAAGAAAGCCTTAACACTGGTTTCCTTTTTTCGCATTATTTTTTTTTGTATTTATTTGACGATTTTCTTCCAAACAAAAATGAATTTACCTCCTAGTCAAATATAAATCTATCCAAAGATTCCATCGAACTTACCATGGAAGTGACTTGAAAGAGTGTGTAACTCTGTTAGGTGTGGATTTCATGCGCTGACGAATGAAATTTATAGACGGGTGTTTTTTAATTAATTAAAATAAACATCATTTATAAAGGATGACATCAGCGATTATTGTTTATCATCTGTCGAGTTGGACTTTAAAATGGCGGCTGCAAAAAGAGCTTATGGGGTTTTCAGCCATGCAAAACCGTCTCACGTCTCTCCCAGTGTGAGGGGTGAAGGGACAGGCAGCGGGCACGATCAGCCTCTTCAGTTCACAGATACTAATTTGTGAACCGCTTTGAGACGACCTACGAACTAGGATGTGATAGGGCGGTATATAAGAACCTCCAATTATTATTATATGAATGCCATTACAGTGAAATATCGGATTCTATTATTTTTTCATATTATTCCCGATAAGTGATTGGCCAGAAGTGAATCACGTGTCCACCGAAATAAACCGATATTGACTTGGGGCGCGTGATTTTTGTTGAAGGACTGGGTGTTTCTAAAAATAGAATAATAACGTGTCTCCAAACGAACTTATCGTCCCGCTTCCGTAGCTGTGTTTTTTCCAGATGGCTAAAATTACTGTTTTGAAAATAATAAAACAATTGTAGCCTTTGACTTCGGTCAATACCTGGATTTATTGACCCGAGAAAAGATATATTAAGCTCGGACTGCGTCCTCTGTCAAAATATATTTTCTCTGGTCAATAAATCCAGGTATCGACCTCAGCCAAAGGCTATAATTGAATACTATCAACTTGATAAAACTAATAGCTTTCACACTGTGACAAATAACAAAAGTGATATTTTCACAGCGTGAAATGATATTTTGTTCAGATTCAAATGAAGCGACGGTAGAATAAGTGGTTATTATGGTAAATGTTTGGTACACAAACTTAAGTATTTACATATATTTACCAGCAATGACATTTTTATAAGCAATCATACCATACAATAGCAGAAAACGTCGAAATTGCTTTGAGAGTCCCATTCAAAATGGCGCACAGCCTTGTTGTCAAGCGTGACGTCATTCTAATATGGCGCTAATAATTACGCTTCTTATTCCCGCCCTTTTTCAATGCATTACATTTTTCATGTTTTATGCTTTCAAAATCTAATAAATAGAAAATTCAATGGTGTCTTAAGTAAAAACAAATATATTTCACGAGTGTGGCTGATATTTTGATTTTTTTCGTGCTGCGCACTCGTGAAATATATCAAAATATTAGCCACACTCGTGAAATATATTTGTTATTACTGAAGACACCATTAAATATCCTCTATTTATTCTATAGGGCTTTTGTAAACTGCAGGAATGAGTAAGTCAAATGCAAATCAACGTTAGCTACGACATTACAACAGTGTGACACATGCCATTGCTACATCGTTAGAATTGGCATGTATGTTTCACCAAAGTGTTAAATATACGATGGCAACAATGCCGGTTATGACAAGTATATTATACAACAATGTACACAAATATCGCATAAACAACAATATTTTTTCGCAAACAAACCGGATGACATCCAGTCGTCTGTGAGATGTTTTGCTGGTCATCACTGTTTATGATTTCGCCGGACAAGCAAGAAGAGAAGACCTCATCATATTTCAGAAAGATCTCCCGTCAATAGAGCGATGGATGTGTGACTAGGATATAGCATACTCATAAAGCTCATCCACATTTCCAATAAGCCGAGTCCTTAACGGCTGTGCCTCGATAATCTACACAGTCTTGGATGGGAGAACACTGGAGAAGGGCACGTAACCGAATTGTAATAATGTATCGCTTGGTCAACATTTTGGGAGCTTCAATCCAGCCATCACATCGTTATAACAGTTATTAGGAGTTAGGAGTTTAGCATCTCACAACAATTCACAAAAAAGGTCAAAGCGCATCCGTATCCCTCCTTGGATAGAAAGTGCGATATAGACCAAGACATTGACAGTTGATATATATATGTCCGACAACTTCATTGTCAGCGAAAGTATACATTTCCCGTCACATAATGTCGTCAGTGACTTAACTGGACGGTGGAGCGACGGACCTGAATGGTCAGTATTAAATGTTTGTAATGGCATAGTTTAATAAAATCAAAATACAGTAAACACTAGAAATAGTCCAATAATAGTCCAAACAGTTTTTTTTTACATTTATTACAATATACCTCTGACACTATTATAGTCAAAGAGTCAACTAAAAAACTGTATCACAATATGTCCGTGACCCTGTATCAACAGTATATAGCCCCTAACTACGACAGCCATAATTGTGTACACCCTTTACCGCGACAAACCTTGACCACGTCACCTTTTACCGCGACTTTCTTTTGACCAAGTCACCCAAGACGCTACGGAAACCTGATTCTGGGTAAATCTTTTTTCTTGGTACCTGTCAATCTGTAGCTATCAACAGTACATCGCACTTACTGTAATACCCTGTGCACATGTACGCTACCAAGTGTTGGGATTTATTTTGACTATTAACGCCACATGTGTACAGTGGATCCCTAACTGCAGCTAGGCCCAAACTTATTCAACTTGGTCACTGTTTACATGTCTGTATTGATCTTTCAGCTTCCACCGCAAGAGTAAGAGAGGGCCTTTTATCTGATGGAACCTCTATCTATACACTCACCATCCAATGAATGCCTTCTTTTATTAACCATTCAATATTACTGTTACTTCCAAACCCCAAAGAATAATAACTAAAGCAAGTATATACTATAGAACATTTATTGAATACCGTAATGAACAAAGAATCAACCACTTCGAAAATAGCTATCATATTTTAAACATTCATAACATTTTCAGTTTCATTTTGAGAAATAAAATTATACTCAACTTCATAAAAAGTTGTTTTCTTAAATTGTTTTTTTATAACTCTATCCTAGCACATCACCATCTAGCCTTCAATCAACTTTTATCGTTTATTGTCATTATGAACTTATAATGATTTTATCGATATTTACGGAATTTAGATTGCCTGATGTTAAAACAAAATGACCTAGAAAGGATTTTTTGTTGTTTAAATATTGTAAATTAAACCCATTGAAAAGACATTCAAGGCAATTTTAAGTTAAATGGTTGTAGAATTTCATTGGAATAATGACTTAGAATCACACAAAAAACTGAGATAAACAAGCTTATCTGAGGATTTTGGAAAAATGTTTTCACCGTTTTCAAACCGCCATACTGTAAGCATTGCATCAGCCACAGTGGACGCATACATACCATTATCTTTGTGTTTAATGTGCATGTGCCCAGTACAAGGGATGAAGTCATTGTTACCTTTAAATCTACACATAGGTCTACACATTCGTCCGCACTCGTCATGCGCGGTAGCCATCAATTCTACAGGTTTATGAAGCGGACTTTTTATCGCCACATATGCGTAGCTCGATGAGAAAGGTAGTCGTTCGTCGGTCAGCGCATGCTCTACAGAATGACCATCGTAGTTCCGACCATCTATACGTACGTAGATTTTCAAAGCTCCACTTGTTGACCGCTTACAGTTCTCGTATGTAGCAGCACTATGCTGGGGTAAGAATGACGACACAACTTCTGAATTCGACGCGGTGTAGATATCGTCATTCCACATGGGATGGCCATTGTTTATTGGGTAAGAGTTATATATCAGATCCCCCGATTTTACATTTATAACCTTTACTGGCATGAACACCCATTGATCAACGCTTGCTTTACCGTCTATTTCGAATGTATTCTGTACGGGAGATATTCCATGATAAATGTCTCCTGCTCGTTTCTTCATCGTCACAATCGGCGGATCTTCGTTTTGGTGTGTGATATTGTGATGCACCGCATTGTCAAGTTTACGTACATTTCCTGATTGTGAGAAAGACGTAGTTTGTCTCGAGTTTCGTTCTCGACGCGTATTTCGTGCTTTTGAAACACACACTCCTCTGACGCATTTTAGCCAGGAAGAATGACCACACTGAGGACATTCGGGCGATAACTGGTAGGTGTAAATGTCCCTGGTCCAGTGGTTAGAGTAGCCATCACGGTTCCGATAGTCAGGGAACCCCGTCATCTTTGCGCTCGGACGATGTTGATGTGATCCATAATTTATCGGGTAATCTGAAGACGGATCTATATCTCTTTTTATCTGCTGCTGCTGGAATCGCCACCAGACGTAATCAATGAAGCAGTGTATCAAAAAGAACAGGGGATCTCTAGTGGCCATGTTCATTAAACCTACGTGTCCACCGACCCACGAATGGATGCCGTTATGACGAAACTCGATGTTGTGTCGGTTCTGTGCATCTGGCTCAGTGATTCTGTGTGTACGTCGACGAGACAGAATTTCGTCCATGGCCCACTTGCTCATTAGATTGCCTTTTAACCCCACATTTCTCACTAAACCCCAATTTCTGAACACACCATTGAGCACTTTCCCGTCGCCATTACCAGCAAATCTGTAAGAAAATATAATAGATTCCGTCGGATCCTCCATCTCATAGTCCAGCGTACAATCCCAGTAGGGTAGGGTGACAGTGTCGTCTACAACACGTAACGCCTGCTCCAGTCTGAAATACAATTATACTTGGGTATTTAAGTATTCTATCTTTATAACTTCATATTATGTAAAATTAGTATGGTAGTACCACATTCATGTATGTGTGTGTCGATTTATTTCCGTATTGAAAATATGTGAACGGTTAGCTTGTTTTGATTTTTAAAAGAAATCCAGGTAGGAAAGAACTGTATACCGGTTATAAATCTGCATAATATAGATAGATAATTACAGTTTCTTATTTCAAATAACTTTGTTAATATTTATACAGATAGTACAGCTGACTGTTGATTAGTATGATGCTACCACCTCCATCTGTGTGTCGATTTATTTCAGATATGAAGGTTATTTTAATTTCAAAAACGCATACATGTAAAAAGTTTCCAGCACTTGTCTACTTTTAAAAATATTCCTTAATTTGCAAAGGTTCCTTACCATTACAACGCGATGCTCTGAAGAACATTCCAGGATCTGGTGATAAATACAGTCTAAACATGCGGATGACTTTGAAGACCCACGATAGAGGTACGACAATACACCATATATAAATACAATGAGAAAATTACAGGTGATAATTGTAATATCTCTTGTTAATCGAACAGGTTTATCAGCACTATCTGACGTTAACTTACAGGTAAATGTAAACTCTATGCCACCCTAGGAAGTTAGCTCCGCCGTGCACTGACTGAAGAATTACTCTGCCTTGATGTATGTCAGCTAGGGTATCATACACACTGGTACGTGTATCTGGGATCTGGTGATAGAAACACAGAGGGGTTCGGATTATATTTATATAAATAGACACCGTCATCCTACATCAGACTCATACTTAACTTCATCGGTTAAAACTCTCAGCAAATGTTCCTGTATATAGTCAGGTCAAAATTGATATTGTCTATTTCAGTGTCGTGTATTCCAATTATATTGATAACATTTTAATATTAAAACGTCACAAAGCATTTAATCAGGGATATATAACAGAGATCAATCGCCTTATTGACATATTTTCAAAACAGTTATACATACATATAAAGTTGGTGATTTGATGTCTACACGGACTGTGAAGTAAGATTTTTAAAAGCGTCTGTTCTGACTGGGAGAATACGAATATGAAATGCTAATACAGTTGATATATACGGATTGAACGGCGTTTTTGTTATTTTCATACCGCCATGAAAATTAAAAAACGCTGTTAAATCCATATATTTACATTTTTAATATAGAACAATTGTTTAATTTTATTTATTTGTTCTTACATTATTTATTTATTTAGTGTGTTATGTATATGCGTCGTCCTTAAACAACATTGGTGGAACAGCCCTATTTAATTAAAATTGGCGCCAATACTTAACCGTAACCATTTGAACGTTTGACGCAGAGGCATTATCCATGTTATCCGAAGCGAAGCGACAAGACTCTCATTGAACAAGATTAATATATGACGTCATAAGTAAACCACGAGTTATGTCAAGAGAGATTTTGCTTTCATACTCAAATGAAATACATTTCTACTGGTAATGCTCATATAGTGGGTTGCAGCGCAAATGTAAATGTATCACTATGATTAATTCACTATTATACAATCACAGTATTTTATGACTACATTATTACATTTTGGCAAGTTATATATCCTTGACAGTCAGCTCGTTATGTCATTTACATGATACATGTAGCTATAACCCAACATTTAACAACAATTTTATAATTAGTTGACAAGTGTACTCGTGATCCTTAACGTGTTAAAGTAGCGTTTTGTCGATAACAGTGATACACTATTTAAATACTTACTCTTTCCTTTAGCTTGGTAATAGCGTCATGGAACCGTTTGCGTTCGTCCCGAGAAAGCATGCGGTACTCCTTCCGGACCCGAAGTGGTTCTGTTGCTCGTTTCCTCCTGGACAGCTCATTGGCTCCCTGCGTGAAGAGCTTCTGTATGACTTGATATGCGACACTGTCCCGGGGCGCCTGCCAACTGGGTCGGCCCGACACCCAAAGATACTGGTTGATACAGTAGGTACTGATGAGTTCACCAGCAACATTGCTGTCCGACTTGTTTGTTTGTCTGACGAAGCAGTTGTGTAGCGTCTCTGGGTAAGGTAGTTCCTCAATGGCTGTCACGAAGGGCACCATGACCAGGAACAGGACACATATCTATGGCCAGAACACAAACACCAGTTGTGTAGGGCTTTGTTTAAATTGATAAGATCTAACAATAATAGACAATGGACCTAACCTCTTAAAAATGTATTTACAAAAGCATGCCAGTCGACCATATAATTTTAATAACGATTTTCTAAAAGTTATGAAAAACTGACCTCAAAATGCATAACTCATTGTCACTGTAGGGGAGAAAGAATACTGTCAATTGATTAACACAATGAGTAAGATCTAGAAGTATATAGAAATGGCTGTATAAAAATCAAAGAATAATTCAATAACCATCTGAATACATTACAACATTATATCGCTATGTTAAGTTTAAAAGAAATACAATCCCAAATCTAAAAATCATCACTAAGAACTGATGCAATAGACCAGTGTTCATTTTAGAAGGAGTTTAAAGACATACGAAATGAAACCAAATACGGATCCATTATATGAAAAAAACCCTACAATGACTTCACTGTTCTGGCAGAAAGGATAATATCTTCTTCAAAATCATAAAAAGTGTAAACATTTGGGGTGGTATGTATTGAAACTAATATTTAGGCCACTGAGTATATAAAATGTGATTATTGCAAGTATCAAATAAAGAGCAAATAAAGTGAAATCTTTGAGCTCCTTCACTGTTGGATGGATGTTTTCTGATAGTTTATCATCGCATAGAGGACATGAAGTTTATATAAGATGGAAAACATTGCTATAGACACTACAAAGTCGTACTATTGGCGACGGTCATGTCTCTTGACGGGTGCATCAAAGGAACGTGAAGTAAAGAGTGAGTCGAGTAGATAGAAGACCATTTCAGCAGCAGGAATGTACGAGTCTTTTATTAATGTAAACTTAACGATTCTCTTTGATACGATGGTGCATATCAAAGAAAAGGGAGGCACTGTAGAACCATTGTTGGCTGTAATATAAAATAAAACAAGTTCTTACCTCACACAGAAACCCGATTTCTACCTTTTCCATGACTCCTTTATCGTGCCATAGCGATTTGTTGAGGTCAGTGCTACGAATCGGTGGTAGTTAACAGTATGATATATGCCCTTTCTGAATTAACTGACGACACTCCCCTGTTGCACGAGAAAGTGTTGTTCATTACCATGTCTAGTGTTTACTAATTGAATGCCCCTCCGGTGGTCAGTATTGTACGGGTATCTCACAGTAATGGCATTACAACAGGGTCATAAATAGTCTAGCCTCAGTACGTCCTGCAAAGGAAATAATAATTAATATACCTCGCGATTCCTTCATTTAATGAGGCGCACAATGGCGTAATGTTACACGGAGTGTAAGTGCAATTTGAATATTTAAAGATTGATTAAATAATGTTTATGCACTTTGGATTTTTGTGTATTTTTACAAGCGATAATATTCATTCCTTGACTACTGTTCACTCCAGTGGTGACCACCCTTACACAAATATGTACACAAATTACCATAAAATACCACAGGCAAAGTTATTAAATCAGTGCTGGCATAACAGTGTGTAACCAAGAAAGTTCCATTGTAGTCAGTTGTCGTTACATTTGGTTTGGTGTCTCCGCCGTTTTTATAATTTTGTATCGGTATTAGGTTGTAATTATATCCTTATGGGTGGATCTTTGATCTTTGATCTATTATACTTCCATTCTAATAAAAGTAGAAGTATATTTGTGTGGTTGTTAATCATTACGTTTAAACTCAAACTATACTTTTTATAACAGTTTACATTTGTGATTTGAATCACCCGAACATTTTATTACGCTACCGTCATATAATTTGTTTTTGAAAGTTTCGCTAAATACTGATGAACTCTCTAGCGTCACATAGATTACCATAAAAAAACACATTAAACACGAGATACCAATTAACTCTCTAGCGTCACATAGCTTACCATAAAATAAATAACAATAAACACGAGATGCCTATTAACTCTCTAGCGTCACATAGCTTACCATTATATATATAACAATAAACACGAGATAACAATTAACTCTCTAGCGTCACATAGCTTACCATTGTATACATAACAATAAACACGATATGCCTATTAACTCTCTAGCTTCACATAGCTTACTGTAAATTAGATAACAATAAACACGATATACCTATTAACTCTCTAGCGTTACATAGCTTACCATTATATAAATAACAATAAACACGAGATAGCTCTTAACTCTCTAGCATCACATAGCTTATCATTATATAAGAAGCAATAAACACGAGACACCTATTAACTCTCTAGCGTCACAGGGCTTACCATTATATAAATAACAATAAACACGATATACCTATTAAATCTCTAGCGTCACATTGCTTACCATTATATAAATAACAATAAGCACGAGACACCTATTAACTCTCTAGCATCACTTAGCTTACCATAAAATAAATAAGAATAAACACGATATACCTATTAACTCTCTAGCGTCACATAGCTTACCATTATATAAATAATAATAACACGATATACCTATTAACTCTCTAGCATCAGATAGCTTACCATAAAATAAATAACAATAAACACGATATACCTATTAACCGTTTAGCGTCATATAGCTTACCATTATATAAATAACAATAAACACGATATACCTATTAACTATCTGGCGTCACAAAGCTTACCATTATATAAGTAACAATAAACACGAGCTACATATTTACTCTGTAGCGTCACATAGCTTACCATTATATAAATTACAATAAACACGAGCTACCTATTAACTCTCTAGCGTCACATAACTTACCATTATATGAATAACAATAAACACGATATACCTATTAACTCTCTAGCGCACATAGCTTACCAATATATCAATAACAATAAACACGAGATACCTGTTAACTCTCTAGCATCACATAGCTTACCATTATATAAATGACAATAAACACGAGATACCTATTAACTCTCTAGCGTCACATAACTTACCATTCAATAATACCAATAAACACGAGATACCTATTAACTCTCTAGCGTCACATAACTTACCATACAATAATACCAATAAACACGAGATACCTATTAACTCTCTAGCGTCACATAGCTTACCATTATATAAATTACAATAAACAAGAGACACCTATTAACTCTCTAGTGTCACATAACTTACCATTATATAAATTACAATAAACAAGAGACACCTATTAACTTTCTAGCATCACATAGCTTACCATTGTATAAATAACAATAAACACGATATACCTATTAACTCTCTAGCATCACGTAGCTAACCATTCAATAATACCAATACACACGAGATACCTATTAACTCTCTAGCGTCACTTAGCTTACCATAAAATAAATAACAATAAACACGAGATACCTATTAACCCTATAGCGTCACATAGCTTACCATTATATAAATAACAATAAACACGAGATACCTATTAACTCTCTAGCGTCACATATTTTACCATAATATAAATAACAATAAACACGAGCTACCTATCAACTCTCTAGCATCACATAGCTAACCATTCAATAATACCAATAAACATGAGATACCTATTAACTCTCTAGCATCATATAGCTTACCATTATATAAATAACAATAAACACGAGATACCTATTAACCCTCTAGCATCAAATAGCTTACCATTATATAAATAACAATACACGAGATAGCTGTTAACTCTCTAGCATCACATAGCTTACCATAAAATAAATAACAATACACATTAGATACCTATTAACACTCAAGCGTCACATAGCTTACCATTATATAAATTACAATAAACACGATATACCTATTAACTCTCTAGCGTCACATAGCTTACCATTATATAAATGACAATAAACACGAGCTACCTTTAACTCTCTAGCGTCACATAACTTACCATTCAAGAATACCAATAAACATGCGATACCTATTAACTCTCTAATGTCACATTGCTTACTATTGTTTTCATTGCAATATGACTAGATACCTATTAATTACCTATTGTCGTATTGGTTACTATTGTCCATAATGCAAATGACTATATACCAATTCTCTAAAGCTATATCGCTGAATAATGTATATTATGCAATATGACGAGATATCAATCAAGCACTCTAGCGTTACAACGCTTAATATTGTATACATTGCAATATAACGTGATACTTCTTAAGCTCTCTAGCGTTACATAGCTTGCTATTATTTATCATGTAATAAATATATGACAATGTATCACGTCCCATCGTTTACTATTGTAAATAATGCAATTTGATGCGATATATATTTACTTTCTAAAGTAGCATTACTTCCTTATTTATGTATTGCAATTGATTAGTAACCTATTAAGTCTAGCGTCACATAATTTACCATTTCAAGTATTGCAACATGTGTGACATCGTTTACTATTGTAGATAATGAAAATTAATGGGAATACTTACTAACTCTTTAGCGTCACATCGTTTACTATTGTAGATAATGAAAATTAATGGGAATACTTCCTACCTCTTTAGCGTCACATGGTTACTATTGTAGATAATGAAAGTTAATGGGAATACTTACTGACTCTTTAGCGTCACATCGTTTACTATTGTAGATAATGAGAGTTAATGGGAATACTCACTAACTCTTTAGCGTCACATCGTTTACTATTGTAAATAATGAAAGTTAATGGGAATACTTACTGACTCTTTAGCGTCACATCGTTTACTATTGTAAATAATGAAAGTTAATGGGAATACTTAGTAACTCTTTAGCGTCACATCGTTTACTATTGTAAATAATGGAAGTTAATGGGAATACTTACTAACTCTTTAGCGCCACATCGTTTACTATTGTAGATAATGAAAGTTAATGAGAATACTTACTAACTCTTTAGCGCCACATCGTTTACTATTGTAGATAATGAAAGTTAATGGGAATACTTAGTAACTCTTTAGCGTCACATCGTTTACTATTGTAGATAATGAAAATTAATGGGAATACTTACTAACTCTTTAGCGCCACATCGTTTACTATTGTAGATAATGAAAATTAATGGGAATACTTACTAACTCTTTGGCGTCACATCGTTTACTATTGTAAATAATGAAAGTTAATGGGAATACTTACTGACTCTTTAGCGTCACATCGTTTACTATTGTAGATAATGAAAGTTAATGAGAATACTTACTAACTCTTTAGCGTCACATCGTTTACTATTTTATAGGATGTTATACAGACAATATAAGCAATAAAGACGATATACTGTCTACTTAGAGCTTTGATGGTGTCAGGCGTATAGACGATGTTTTATATTGTTCTATCGACTTTGATCTTTGATGATAAGCCAATGTTTTAAATTGTTCTGTCGACTTAACGTTGGGATTTGGTTTTTCGTGTACTGACGTTGTGGTACATTGAATTAATTTTGTATCAAGATTTAGTCATTGTATATTGATTAGATGGTACATTGTAACGACGTTGAACTTATAATTTTGTTTTATGAAAAGACAATAGGCGATTTACTGCACTTAATGTGTATCATAGTTTATAATTTATCCTGCGTTTTTTCAACTCACAAAGTTCGGAAACAGAACCATTTAAACATGGCACATCAAGGAAACCTGAGGTATAGGTGTCTTTTTTTTTTTCTTCATAACTGAACATTATTTAGATAATCGTTCATTTTAGGAATTGCTATTCTTTTACTTTTACTACCTCTTAGCTAAAACAAACGAATGTAGACCCAGGTACTTGTAATGTCGTTGATACAAAGTATTTAAACTCAAAACATTTTAATTTCGTACAGACTTTTTGTGCCGTTTTTTGTATTCTGTAAAAGTGTCGTTAAGGAAGGTTTCATTAAGAATGATAGTATAAAGCAAAGTGTCATCAAGCATGGTTTCGGTAATCAATATGTCATTAAACACGAGGTTATTTAAATATGGTGCAATTAATGTTACATTTAATAACGGTGTCACCAATCATGATCTCATTTATTTTAGTGGCATTAACCATTGTGGCATTAACGTTGTATCTAATAACGGTGTCACTAATCATGATGTCATTCATTATAGTGTCATTAATCATGGTGTCATTAATGTCATTCATTATAGTGGCATTAATCATGGTGTCAATAATATTCTTTCTTATCACGGTGTCACCAATTAGGATGTCATTCATTATATCATTATTAACATGGTGTCATTAATATTCTTTCTTATCACGGGGTCACCAATCATGATGCGATTCATTATAGCGTCATTAACATGGTGTCATTAATGTTGTATCTAATCACTATGTTACCAATCAAGCTGTCATTAAGTAAAGTGTCTTTAACATGGTGTCATTAATGTTGTAACTGATGGGTACTACAGGTGTTACTTTTGTCTTCGGTGGTCGTTTGCTTTTATATGGCGTTTGTTACCTGCGAACGTTACAAAAAATATGGTTGTAAACAATTCTGGAGCATAAGTCGTAAAAATTCCACGACGAATCCAGGATCAGGTAAATTGAAGATGAAATCACGAGTAAGACGAACTGAGTTCCCTGTTAACGTTAGCTTTGTTAAGTTCAATAGCAAGTCTGTATGCAACCCCTGTAGACTTATGTCACCTGTCTTCAACTGTGTTTGTTTTAGTATGAGGCTGAATCTATTTAGGCAGGACAAGTATCAAAGCCCTAAAGGGTCCTATTATCGCACTCTCAGATGTACTGATGATTTGTTTTTGTGAAGAACAAAAACGATGAAAATGAAGATACACAACTACTTGGTATATAGCTGCATGTCATTTACAGTACCATGTAGAACACTGTATAGTAGTTTGTTTCCACTGAACAAGAAGACGTCCTTTCCAAACATAGACTTATAGGATGGTGATATGAAAAATCAGATACGTTATACAGCAGCCAATGTTGAAAACATTTGAGGACAAAACTTTGAATTGGTTTAAACAGGTTTTATTGACATAAATACTATAGGAAATGCCACAATAAAAAAGCCATTGTGGACGACTCCATTTCCCTATAAATAACACAAACAATTTGCATATACGGTATAAGGTAGACACGGAAATCGGAAGTTGCTCAGCGCCGAAGTGGACAGCCTTAATGATTCGTCAGATGGGCTCTTGTATAACTGGAAATATCTAAGCAAGACTTCCAGATCACACTGGTTACAAGGACCACTGAGATATGTTCGGTTCACAGGTTAACGTTACAATGATATCACCTATAACCAAGGCACATATCGTTAATACTGTATTCATGTCATGGTTTACTATAAACATCAAATGCTTCAATAAAGGCGAAAGGTTCACACAATAAACCTCTCTAAAACCTCCCCTCACTAGGACATCTTGCGACTTTAACACGAGTATCGGGCAAAGGGTCATCACCATAATATGTCCTGGTTATTACCACTCAGTACAAGACCTGCCAGCAAAGGAAGTCGCTGTTCAATAAAAGAGAGTACTTGAAGTGTATAAATAAGTTCAGAAGATTGTGTGACGTTCATTGTGACGTTCTGTCACATGGCTGTCGAGTGTTCATGCGTCCTCCTCCTCCCCTGGAAGACCAGAAGACACAGAAAGTCCGTTGGTTCTTGTAGGATCTATGTTCACAGACTGCTGGGATTTCGAATATAAAGCGTTGTCAAAACCAATAGCTTGATCACTCCTGCCCTGGTAGCCACCGTTACGACTTTTAATAAAGATGGCGGAACCAGCTGCTATTCCCAAGACAACCAGAACACCGATGATGATTCCTGCTACTGCACCCCCTGATATGCCGTTTGATTGGTTCCCTGAAATAAATGGACAATTTATTGGTGATCTAAACAAAGATTATATAAGTAAAATGTGCGGACACTAAAAACGTTAATATATAGCCAGTATATTTGTACAACCATCAGGACATCTTAGTCGGTAAAACCTAACAGATATATCATCTTAAAGTCATAGGAGTGTATTGATAAACGGGAATAGGAAGTTCATCCCTAGTTGAAAATCCAATGTAGGGAGACAGTATCACAATTTCCGCATATTCTAATGTTTAATAATAAACTGATGAATATTGTATGTTTATTATTAAAAGAACAGTGTGTTCTCTCAATATTAAAGTATTTCAAACCAATCCAGGCATTAATTCAGTTGTTTCTATCAATGAGTAGCATGTGTCCATGTTTCTGTACTTCAGGAAACCGGCTACTTATTTCACTACTGTGATGTTTTACAAGAAAGATAACTCTTACCTGCAATTATTATGTGTATATGATTTTATTATAAAATGTCAATTTTTAATCTTTTATAGATAATTGATTTTACACAATTTCACCATTTATTAAATTGATATACATTAATGCAATACTAATATATGTCAATATAATTCTTATTGTCATTATCTTGAAAAAAAATGTGTCTGATTTATTTTTCAAAATTCACTCCTTTTTACATAAATTTCAATTTGAAATCCTTAAAATTGTGACAACCTATATTTTTTTGTGAAAGAATTTTTTCTCTAATTCAAAGCAATATAACTACAAAATTCTACTGAGAAATGGTGACACAATCCTATTACCTTAAATTAAAAAAAGTATTATACAATAAGAAAACATCCAGACAATTAAATAGGCACAAAACAACGCGTCATTACATAAACGGAGAAACACAACAAAAAAGTTAAGTGTAACATTTTTGATGACTTTGATCTGCAATATACAATATTTAATATACCGTTGCACCATTTAAAAGTGAATAATGCAATAGAAATGTAAATTTTACCGAAAGAGCGACGGAAATGTTATAAGCACGGAAAATAGAAACACTACATTTCTTATATATTTATTGATTATATCATCAACTAATTTTAGTCACATCTGAAATAAAAATAAAACATACTTTTACCAACGTGCCGATAGCCAAGAAAACCAAATTATCGTTACATAATCCAAGTTTGTAGTAAAAAAAAGGTTTATGACAAAAACACCCATTTTATTTTTACTAACAGACTTATTCAAGTTTTAAAACTGTATATCTATCATATTTCCATATTACCTGTTTTCGTCGCTCGTTGTTGCTGTGAGTGACCGCTGTGAGGTTTGTATGTGAGGAATGGCGGCATAGTCGGGTACTGGGTACGGCCTGGATTCGTCGGGCTGTAGGGTTGTACTGGCCTTTGAGTTATTGGGCTATAGGGTTGGACAGGCTTCGGAGTGTTTTGCGGATTGAATGGTGTGTTGACAGGAGGGTTGTTGGAGACTGGCGGAACTGGAGCGGCGGTAGCCGCAATTGTTGGAACAACTGAAAAAACGAAAGACATATAGTAAACATGCAATGTAAAAATATGCTCGCAATATCCATCGTACTAATGTTTTTGGTGTGTAGAACAGATCTAATTTCAGTAATAAAGTTTTGTTTGCTTACAAAACGTTATATACATATATATGTTGATTTACAACTAAAACTTGGAATAAATTTGGAATAATCAGGTATGTTACCAAGCCCGATACATATCCATGGAAATATTTTATACATGAATTTACCCGAAGGTACTTTAAACATGTACTATTTAAGGTTGAAAGTCACTTGCAGATAAACTTACTTGCGGGTGTTTTACAAATATATCCCTTGTTATTGAAGCAGTTGTTGTCATTCCATTTACCGCCTGACTGGTACATTTCTACACACTCTTCGTTGTGACTTCCCTTAGCGTCAGATGGTTCCCCATCTGCCCAGGCCACGAAACTTACGGCTGTTCCATCTGTCCACGTGAATCCATCTACACATACAACACCCTTTTTAATTTGATTGTGGAAAAGTCCAAATCATGATAGAAGGAATGGGAAAAATCAGCAAGTGATTTGGGAATAATCCATACTTCAACTAATTACACATAATTGAACTGCCACCAGTGCTGGTTTAGGTGCCATTTTAGTAAAGTTTTATGTTTTCGTTACTGTGTTACATTTTGCATTATCCAACATGTCCTGGTCTTGAAACTATTTCAAGAATATTTTAAAAGCGATACTGACTTCTGCTGAACATTACATGCTCTGGATTTAAACAACTAGTCTTGACTTATTGATACATACCCAGGATTCACAAACTTAGTATTTAGATATAAAAATCATGTTTACGTCTAAATATAGCCATTATATCGGTACCTGTACAATAGTGTTACGATATGCATACGAGGATGAACTACAATGACTCATGCTGCAGACGCCTAACAAGCCTCGTGGTTGTTAACTTCATTTACAGTATATTGTTTAAAAGTTATCCATTTTAAACACACAATGGTGTCAATCCTTAACACAAATGGGTCTATGTGTTAAGAAGGACAAAGGCATCTGACTGTCCATTTAGTGAGATAATGAATAGATCTCGGCTCGAATGGCCTTAATCAGTCCAATGGACAGTACTCGCCTTTTTTCTTCACTTGTTGTACAGGAAAACTACATGCTCAATTAAGAAGTATTTATTATCTTAAACTACAAACGTTTCTCTTTTCCCAGTTTTACTCTGGGCATTCTCGTTAGATATGCTTATGTCCCTTAGTTCCTGAAACTTTATAGAACTATCATGGACTTACCTGACAAACCCTTATTCATGCCAATCCACATGTTTTGCAAGCCTGCTGATACAGCCGCTGTGTCGTTCGGAAGGGGTTTCATGCTATTGGCTAGGCTGATAAGGTGCTGTTGTTCTTCGGCAGAGTGAATACTGGCCAATTGCATACCGCGTCTCTGACAGTTATACCGCGACCCCGGCCATGATGTAGTATGAAAGGCTTCGATGTAATAACAAAAGTCGCCATGCCGATTATACGTCGAATCAGAACAGTGACCGGCGGGAGGTAGCGTCACCGGGGGAGGTGTTGCTGAAAACATTTACACACAACTATTACCAATTCAACAGTGTATCTTAAGTAACAGGTATCTTGATTATGGAGACGAACATTCAGCCGTTTGTAAGGTATTGTTCTGATACTGCTAGACAAATATCTGAAGACTAGCTATCAAATTAATGTAAACAAAATTACCTGAGGGATTCTCAATTTAACGATTTTTGCACTAACATTTTCCCCCCACGACATACACCCTACGAAACAAACAGGCAAATAATTCCATCGTTAACACTATGTTCCTTAGCCACTAGACCCAATATCTGCAAACGACAGATTTCACGAAATACAGACAGCGAAGCAATGCCTTTTGAAGAATCTGGAGTTAAAATGAAGAATGGTCTGTATCTCACTAATCCTGATATTGACAGATGATGCTTCATTCATTTCACCTCATTTGTAATATGAACACGTACTGGAGTATATGCCAACTAAATTGTTAAAACAAGCCTGCACATTTATCTACAGGTATAGTACAAATGAAATAGATAACGAAGAATGAATGTATGCACACAAAACAAATATCAATAACATACACACCGAAGGCGCTGCTTATTTCTTCTCTTAGTAAACATTTCACTGCAGCTTATTAATTGCGTTTTGGATATAGTCGGCTTGTTTTCAAAATGGTAAAGGGTCTATATTCACCTGACTCAAGCTTATGGCAGAACTTTATGTAAATTTATTCACACTTAATATAGATGATGATCTATGATTATGAATTATGATTATGAAATGACATGCACATAACTCATATGTTCAAACATGGAGAGCTGTATCCAATGACAGCGACCACTATAGGAAATTTAACAAAACTGCAACAATACACAAGACGTATAGTTGATCGTCTGTAACAAACACATTTCTCATTTAAATGATAACTACTCGTGCATGAAACAATGAAGCAATGAGGATGTTAATGAAAGTGATTATGAAGATAAAAAGCGAAACGACACATTTAAAAAAAACTACATTTAAGGTTAATTGGAACTTCAACATTCCATTAATTATCCAGATCAAGTCAACTTCAAAATGAATAAATGTGTATTTTTGATGATTGGAAAAACAATTTATTCGGAAATGTGTCAATGCGCTTATAAGCTTCTAACTAAAAGAACCATCACCATGTATATATAAAAAGGGCATAGTACCACACAGAAGTGTTACTTCGTAAATACTAAGTGATGCTTTGTTTAACACTACATTTTTGCTTATCTTGAGTGAGATATCGATATCCATTTGAGAAAATTTGAAAAAAATACGTTTGAGTATTATTAATTGATATAATCAAAATTATAGAATTAATAATTCTTATTTCACCTATATAAAAAAGTGCTTAAATGTTCCTCCATATTCATGGTTAAGTACGGCATCAGGTACGCCAATTTGGCTGTCATCATAAACAAAGTCAAACAAAGAATAAACCCAGACAAAAAAACATATCAAGTATTAACCGATACCTCCACCTACAATGATAGCAGATTCTCATCAATACTGTCACGGTGGTTTTACCGTCGTATTACTGTTAACATACATGTTGTAGCGTTGGTCGATTTTAGCGCTTTTCTCGCGTTTAAGGTATTTCTCTAATATTTTCGTTCGCTTTAATTAGTACGTTAACAGTAACTGCTGAGGGCCAAATCTTTTTTTTTAATATCTTGTGAGCATATGTCTTATCATATGATTGTTCTATAAAACAGCACGCAACAGTGATGACTGCATTGTCGCAAAATAACCTATTCATCAAACTGTTGCAAAATTGTTATTTTCGCGTTTACATTGATGATATTACACCCTGTTATATGACTAATTATACAACCGGAACACATACTTACAAGGGACATATTTTACTGTAAATGCAATGAACGTAAACTGATAGTAAAGTTTCAGAAATACAAAAGCAGTGTAAATATGCATGGTAAATGACGTGATATATTCAATGTTGATCACGTGTATATGATTTTAGTGTGCAGCGTTTGACCCTTCAAACACATTCAGGATTCATTTTATCATATGGCTGCGTACATTTTATCATTCAAACTTTGGCAGATTAACAGAATCACGTTTTTCTTTTGCGCATAACATGTTTATCATATATAACATATATAACATATATATAATATATAACACATACCATTTTGATGACAGTGAACACCTTGTGGTTAACCATAACCGGAATTCGGCAAATTTCAGAAATAAAAAGAAATAAAACCGTGTGCATGGATTCACAATTACGAGAAGATACACATTATTAATTTAGGGAAATTGTGAACCGTAGGTTTCATGTTCCATTTGATTGATAACGAAATATGCTTCATTTTTCTGTTAGTGTATAGTTGTTGTATAAGCTTTGTACCTGAATTTATTTCACAGACGTACGACATTGAGGCGGTACACGAGGTATCATTCCACATTCCCCCCATGACAGAGACACATCCCTCTCCGGATCCACGTGTAGGTTCGCCAGACCCCCAGTTCGTGTAGTAAACGGGCCAGTTAAGCGCCCATTTATAAGTGTCTGATGCCTGTAAATAGTACATAAAATCAAACATAATTGTAGCAATGCTTGATGTTACCCATGGATATGTGAATATTGTGCCACTCAATAACAAACATTATTTTATGCATGAACATTTCTCGCAATCACATTGGTCGGATCCTATACACGTGACCAGTCCTCAAAAACTCATGTAGACTGGTTATCCGGTGAATATCGATTTCTAAATATAGCCTGTATGGAAATTCCCCGGAACCTGTCGCAGCGCAAGCGCATTTAGACGGGAACGCGATCTGTCAGACGGCGTAAGAAAATGGCTGCTGGCGAACGTTTCTACTCCGTTAGGAAAATTCCCAAAACTATTCGAGAATAAAGATGCTGTTAGCGTAAGAAAGGCCATTGAACACGCAGTACATGTCCTCCATGCTTATCTTAAGAAAAAGAACCTAGACGATGCCTTCGAAAGCTACGATGCTGAACTGTTGTATTCAAACCTGCTAAAAAATTTTCGTGTACAAAATTCAGAACCTTTAGTTTAGTTTTGTTTTGTTTTATTGTTGAAGCATATAATAAAACAGTTGTGGGCTTTTGTGCTGGTAAATATGATGTGATATGAACCTGAAAGAGTGATATTGACCTCGGCTTCGCCTCAGTCAATATCACTCTTTCAGGTTCATCAGCACAAAAGTCCATAATTGTATATTATTTGACTCTATTTTGACATGACACTATCTAATAAATGCTCTATTATGTACACAAAGCATGTAAGGTAAAAGACTGTCGTAAGCGTTATCGCTTAGATTTCCCTCCTCTGTTCTGTCTTCTGACAATAATCGTGTTAACAGATTGAGAAGAGTTGGTACCTGTGAGGTGTCCGAGAGCCCGATCCAGTAGGGGGCGTTGCCGACAATGGAGTACACATAGGAATCCTCGTATATATCATTGACGTTGACGAGAGAGCCACCATCATTACCACAGGCCATATTAGCGCTGGACCAGGATGCAGGTGATGTCACCACCTTGTAGCAGCTGGTTCCGTACGAGGTGTACCCATTTAAGCACGTGCCCTGAGTGCTCGGTATGGGTACGTGGAGCACTGTTGAAGTAGAACAAATCTGTAATCTTAGTGTTTAAAGGATAACGGGAAAACCCGTGTGGTTTCTGATTTCTGATTACAAAACGTCTGTGATCTTAGTGTTTAAAGAACACGCATGTGCTCTGACTAATTACAGGACGACACGTATGTTAACATTACGTTTAATGGATAGCTGTGATCAAAACACGTGTCTGAACTTACATTTAAAGGATGACTGCATAACTAATCTGTCAGCTTATTTTGTAAAACATAATATCTGTCAGCGTATTGTGTAAAACATAATATCTATGATTTTATTGTTTAAAGGATAGCTGGATAACCCATTTGTTAGCTTATTGTGTAAAAGACAATGTCTGTGATGTTACAGTTTACAGGATAGCTGAATAACCCATCTGTTAGCGTATGGCGTAAAAGATATTTGAATAAGTGATCTGTCAGCTTATTATGTACAAATATAGAAAATGTCTATGATTCTATTGTTTAAAGAATATCTTATCGTTTAAAGTTTAACAGGTGTTTAATTTAAATGTTGGAACAATAACTCGTCTAGATCTTACTGTTTAAAGTTTAACATTGCTGTGATCTAAGTGTTTAATGGATAATACGTCTGTAATCTTAGATTATGAAGTATAACACGATGCTATTGTTTTAAAGGTAATCCGTTTGTGATCTCATTGCTAAATAGCACATCTAAGTGGTTTTTTTTTAATCTTCATGAAAACAATTCCAAATAGGCTTAAAAGTGTCAAATTAAATAAGATATGCTTTAAAATAATCTTTCTATATATTTTTCAATTGATGCTTCGTAATATGTAATTATCCGTTCTAAATTTATCTAAATCTAAATTAATGTTTTATTCAAGTATAATGGTAAAGAGATCCTGTAATTTGTATGAATTAAGTTTGCGGAATTGCCATTTCTGCAGGATCAATTTGGTACTTTGTTACCGATCCTGTCAGACGGTGGACGTCAAACGGAAACCATTCCGGAATTCCCGCCATTGAATTTTAATTCACGTCAGGATTGATCCCCGATTACTCGAACAGTTTGACGGAATGATCCGTCTTTTGTTCGTGCTGTTATTGGATTATATATTTTAAGTTGCTCAGTTTATCTAAGGACTGCACAATGGAAATGAAAATATTTACGTTTAACTAGTGTTTCTTATGATTAATCAGCACTCTGTTATCGTTTCGTTAGATTTACCTCGTGATCCCTGACAAAGGTACGGTCTAGTATTGCTGCATCTCTTGTCATTCCATTTGCCAACCTTGACTATCGAGGTATATATCTCAACACAATCTTCCTGCAATACATTTACAGTAAATATTAAACTTTCATTTAAAATTACAATTGAGATATATAACCTAATACAATTAAATTTAACAGTTTCTAACTGTCATGATATATTACATAATCATACATTGCGCGTGTAAACACGTATAGGTATTGTTTTAATCTGCAGAATAAACAGGCAAAATCTATTTTTAAGTCACAAAGAATATTATTTTACAATAAAAAAGTATACTTCCCAGAACAAACTGCGTTTGAAGAAACAACATACTTAACATGTGAAGCTGATAAAAGGGAACAAATGAAATTTACTTGTATGGATTATTATTGAAATTCCATTACTAGCTGAATTCATCTTTAACTGTTTTTAGATTGTCAACGTTATCCCATAGGAAACCGATTTCCAATTAAGACCGCTTGTGTTTATCAACGTTAAGAACGCTTGATTACGTCCACGTCCATATGACGACCAATACCAATACCAATTCGGCCAATATCTTTATAAAATTATAAAAGGGTTCTTACTCTTCTGTACGAGGAAGCATACATGGAATGAAGTTATTCAGGTGAACGATGTATGAACACTGATAAGCTGTCGAGAAGCGGACAGGACGGTTCGGCGAATGAATGATAGGACATGACACCAGATATAAGGAGAAATGATAACAAGATGAAAACTCTAATGTTGAAGTAAATCAAATCTGGTATTCAATGAAAACAATCGTACCTGAATTAGTGTTTTTTATGTGCAAAACAATAGTTTAATAATGGTCGGAGAAGGCAATCTGCATATAGTCAGATTTAAATATGTTCAGACAAGAAATGGTACTTCTAGATTAAGGTACATGTTATTCGGAAACGGAAGTCTAAAATTATATAATCTTCCATGGTGTGTTGGAAAAACAATCTTTGCATAAAATAAAGTTTGAGACGTTATAAGTTTTTTTTATTTTTGCAGGAAACGTTTTTAAATAATCCTATTAGGATATGCGAAAGCTGAACTGATTCCAATTTGAGCGAAATATGTTTTTTGTTAGCATCAGCAGAAACATTAGTTAATAATTTGGTGAAAATCGAATCGATTCCACAGAAGGGGTGATTACTCTTATGTAAAGATCTTCAGGTATTTTTTTTTTTTTTTTATATATTTTATTTTAGCAAATGTGAACATAAAAATATATCTTGGTCTGAAATGTTTCTTATCGAGCTCACAATTTACAAAACGTATAAAAATGTAAGATTACATGCGCATATGTAAAACATTTAAAAGTTTTTGAAAATAATGTAAATGTACTCGGATGTTCATGAAACTGTTTATGACATATACTAGACAGGGGCTGTCCAGACAGGTAATATTTTTTAGTTTTAATTAGAATGAAGTTCCGATATTAATGTTTGCATGCAAGCTATTATTTATGATGTTGCGATATGGATAATAAACTTTGATTTGTTAAATTGGTGTTAGGATATGCACTTCTTCATGAACAAAATATTTTATTGATGATGGCTTAGGGAGTAATTATTACGGTAGGTATTACTGATATGCGAATAGGATGTCTACATGTATAGTAGTTGTAATGAATTTGGAATAAGGATGTCAACTTGATTACAAAGAATGGTATATAGGGAAGCAAAATTTGGAAGAAATATTTCTTTTCGCAAAGCCGATAATTCCTTAATACATAGAAATAGGTAAAAGCGTACTGACGAAGCATTTTCATACGTACAGTAGTTTGTGGTTTGCCTGTCTGTAAAAGGTTATTATTTTTACCGATTGTTACATATCAGGTTAGGAAACAATAACACATTCGCTGACTGAAATTGTCCTGCTAGTATTCAATATGTTCACGTATGGATTATATAGAAAATGCAAATAACCGCATTAATCCAAAATTACCTGCTAGTCAAATTGAGAACAAACACACACATGTATATATTTATATATCACAGTTAAAATAATTCATCACTACGATAGAGCTGAACCTATTTTTTATCAATACAATAACATAAAAACCATTATAGAGAAAAACATTATTCCGTATATAAGCCCTATTTTACAATGGATGTATTGATTTATTGTTATAAAAGTCGTATATCCTTTATTTTTGCGTGTCTCGTTTGTCACCAAAATGAATACACAGACAAAATACATCGTCCAAATTATTTAGAAAGATATGATATTTATTGATCAGACATAAAAGTCAATTTTACAGTCGGCCATGAAGAATTGGATGTTATATATAAAGACGTCAAATTGGGAGAAGTATTAATCATGTAAAAAACATGTTATGAAGAGTATTTATGTGATGAGCAATACCAAGGATAATACCAATGTAGTAATCAATGGGTATCACGGAAGTCAAAACCACATTTGTTAATAGTTAGGTAGTTGATATCTGAGTGTTTAATACCAAAGAAAGTAAGTTATAGCATGGTACTCAACACCACAGTTTTTCATAGTAGTGAATGCAAGCGTATTTGATATCATAAAAATATTACAGTCACTTATGCCATAATAGTTAATATAATATTATACAATTATTTACCTATTTTCAGGCGAATACGAGGATTTATTAATCCAAGAAGGTGATATTTCCCCGAGGCCGGAGGCCGAGGAAAATATCTCCTTTGAGGGTAAATAAATCCACGTATTCACCTGAAAACAGGTCGATAACTGTTTTATTATATAACATTTTTATAAACTTAACCATGTGTAGCACCAATCCATACTTAGCATATTTCGCTATGATTATGGCACCTGCAATGAAATTCTGCCTACACAGAATATGTCTCTCTGTGCAATAAAAATGACCTTATATTAGCTGTTAATAAGATCAAAAACACCATACTGCGTAATGTGAGTAAATGGGAGAAAACTCAATCAAACAAATTTAGTATTTATTTAACAAAATTTATATGCATTGAAAGTAAACTTTCAATGGTACAGTACCGTATAGCGGTATCTTTCAAATATCACATTTGTTTACAATGCATAAATAAATATTATTAATAATATCACATTGCTCATCGGTTATTACACCTCATCCGTCTGGATACTAAAGAGATAACTACGCGTTGATATTTCTCACCGTCTCATTTCACATAAAACTTCTGAAGATTATTGCGGAGTTCGAGTGCCTGCATGTCAATACAGTCCGTGTCTATTGCTTTTTCTTTTAAATATTCACGCAATACACATACGGACGTGTCAGTAGCTTTAACAGTGTTTCTAGCATCCTTTTGCACCAAGATAGTTTTAGGTTGGCTATCGGAAACAGTTCCAAATCTTGACAAGCCGGGTTTGTTTATACTATCGTCTGCCATTTTCACTCCAGTGAGGCAACGACAATCCGCACTTCTGATTGGTCAAAAATTGCAGCACAGATTACGGGATTGTAATATTCACCTGTGAGGCGCCCGACGGGGTTTTGGACTCTTATATTCACCTCGCGTGCATAGATTCTGTAGGTTTCGGTGTAACATCGCAATATATTTAGACATATAAGAGGTGTTTTGACCAATCAGCGCGTGGGAAAAATGACAGTCATATAATAAATCAAGATATCTATTATTCTATACTAGGATAGTTAATATCACAGTAGTTAAAATCAGGGTATTTAAATATAAGGTGACGCATATATCAGTGACTAATGAACAAAAATAATATGTATCAATGTAGTTAAAATCACTGTTGTGAATACCAGAGTAGTTATTAGTAAATATCACGGCAGTATATCAAGTTAATAGGACAGGAACCCATAAAAAGGTAGTCTGTACGACTGTAGGAATATCGAGGGGGTTCGTACGACTGTAGGAATATCGCGATACGGCAGTAGGAATATCGAGGAGGTTTGTACGACTGTGAGGTTTGTACGACTGTAGGAATATGGCGATACGGCAGTAGGAATATCGAGGAGGTTAATACGACGGTAGGAATATCGCGATACGGCAATAGGAATATCGAGGTGGTGTGTACGACATCAGACTATATTTAGGCGGCAAGTACAACAGAAGGTAGTATCAGGTTAATTTGTACGACAGCAGATAATCTTAAGGTAGTTGTACGACTGTTTATAATGTTAAGGTAGCTTTCACGATAGCAGATAATGTCAACGTGGTTATTGTAACAGTAGATATAAAGGATACCTTACCCACCGCGGGCAAAAAACATCCACTGTAGTCTTTTGTATTTACAGTAAATTCACTTTAGGTTTTGTTTGTATATAACTGTAACGCGATTTCGACATGATAAGTCCGCTGACCAGGTAGCTCTTTGGAACGACGTAAAATAATCTGAGGTTTAGTGTTCGATTCCAGCTATTTTTATACTCAGAACACTGAAAGTCCTACAAGTCTTTAACATAGCAAATATAGCATTTCATAATATCAAGGAAATTTCTACAACAATAGATAATACATAAATAGGTAATACAACAGACGATAATACCAATGTAGATAATATCGAAAGAACAGTCCTTACCGTGGTCCCGCCATTATGCGACTCGCTGTGTCCATTTGGTTCGTTGACGGCCCAGTTGGTGTATGAAACATGTGAGTTATCATGCCAGATAAATTTGTGACTGTGTCGATTATTATTCAAACCAATCCAAACGTTTGTTGTAAGTCCTTTTAGCAATGTATTTACAAAAGCTGCAAATCAAGCGAATATGTTTAAAGTATGCTTCACATAATGCCCTTGCTAGTGGATAGATGTAATATTTGAGTATAGATAAAATGTATATCAAATGAGTTCATATTCAAATGACATTACCATTCATGAAATTCTCTGTTTAATGCATTTCACAGTGGAATTCTAATATTTATACATAAGTTACGTAAACTGACTTTAAATGAAAAAAAAGACGTTTCAGAACCGCTGTAGCCTGTGGTTTAAACCAGATGCTAATTCGTCAAATTAACCAACCCTGTGTAACATAGTGAAATAGACTGACATTTAGTGTAAACAAATAAACATAGTTACCAAGAGGGAAGTAACATGATACTGACATATTTCGTGAAGATACAAGTTCACAGCCGGTAATAGTAGAAAGGTTAGCCGTACGATACGGACAGTATTAATTGTTATTAATTGAAATTAATGTCAGGCATTCATGCTCTAGAGTAAGAAATGTGATGTACATTATTATGTTAGTTGTTGGTTCTGAATTCAATAAAAACATGTACTAAGCAACTTTGCCAGAAATGGTATTTGCAAGAGTTCTGGTAGTAAAAATATTAAAAGGAACATGAGTTGGATTGAAACAGATTGATCGTCCAAAGTAGGCTTTCCAATAATTGCTGTGTGTATACCTGTTGATTGTAAAACTATATTTTTAAGAATGCATTACCCTGTTCTTGAGCTGTATTGATCGACGCGATATCATATCCCTGGCCATACTTCATACACCCTTGATAAGCCGTCTGCCAATTTACCTGAGATGTTTTACCGTCCAGTTTAAAGCATTTGTTACCTAAAATGTGGATAAACGGTAAAAAAACATAGAAAACGTTGATATTTTATCATTTTGTTATGCAAACGTGAAACGGAATAAATTTGGAGACTTCATGAATGCGATTAAGAGGATTTCCTATTTCAAATATTCATGCCTACGACAAGACATCATCTCTAGAATTGTTTTATCAGATGTACAAGAAGCCACATCGTAAAAGGATACCGTGAACTTTTGAGTTAGGTTTAACATAACAAGTAAGGCTAATCTCGTTTATAATAATAAATTGCTTTGGAGACAGTTTCTGGATGCTTATTTTATTCCAACATTAAAGGGAGCGGGACGAAACTCCATTGTTTAACTAAAGATTGTAATGATCCTACTTACTGTTTGGCATAGGGGTGAAACCGTTTCTACATCCGCCATTAACAACTGGTACAGTTGGCACCGTCGGGGGACCTGTCATACCAAGTTTCCTCTTACAAATAAAACCCTTTTCTTGTCCACAGTTGTCGTCATTCCATGTTCCTCCTTTAAAAGTACAACTATCAGTTAAGTAACTGTTATGGATATGCATGCTATATATATATGTAATTTTAATTCGCCCCGTGATGAGGTTTTTTATAAGAGTTTTTTCAACTTCTTCATGTTGCGTGTATACGTGGACAATCGCCTTCACGTTTGAAAAGGCGGACAAAATAATATACGTCTGTAAACTATCTTAAACATTTGTGCAATATTTACCGGACGCTGATAGCGAAACACACATCTCTGCTCCAAAAGCGTTGTTAGGTTCCCCGTGTCTCCAGAAGTCAAAGTCTACCAAGGAACCGTCCGTCCACCTGCAATTACACATTTCATTTACGCTGTACGTGCTGCGTCAAGACATACTTGAATAAATTACAAAACATGACATATACTTCTTAAATTATTTCAGGTATTACTGATTAACTGTCCGTTTGGTCTTTATACAGTATTTGACACATAATGTAATTAATAGTGAACAAGTATCAATCTTAGTATTAACCCTCTATAACTACTTGCCAAATAGATCAAAATGTTGTTCTTACCATCTATCCGTGCCAAAATGTTATTTCCTTCAATTCAATTACAATTGTCTCTAAACTGGATACTCCCAGGACCATAATGTTTGGATAGGCAGTAGTCTGTACACAATTTTAGTGACAAATTCATACTGTATGTTTCCACTTTAGTAAAGACATTAAGAAATTAGAGCTTAACGTGATTGTCTCTGAAAATATCAAACATAAGCGTATTCCTATACCATACAGGCAAAATGCACACATCATACAATGATTTGAACACGTACGTATACGTTGTTGATCCAAGTTCGTTGTATCCAACCCATGCATTCGCTAGAGACGCCTTAGTTATCTGTAAGAAAAGCACAAACTAGATTAGGAATTTATTCATTACGTTATGCACTACATTAAATAACGAGAAAAATATATTATAACTAAAGAACATTAAAAACATGTTTAAATATATAGCCTCAGATAAGAGTGTATTCTAGATATACTAGCAACTAGTGATGCAACTATACAGTAGTTTCTCAAAGTTGTAACAGTCAATTAATATACGAGGGAAATGCTGCCTTACTGGCAAGCTAGTTTTTCAAGTGATGTGATATAACCCCGGGAATCGAGCGCAGGGTCAGCAAGTCAAAAACGTCGATCGTGATTAGCGGCTGGATGGGTGTCCGCCCGCACGTTACACAGTACTATAAAACATAGTCATCTAGTTACTGTACATATTCCACACGTAACCTATTATTGAAATATGTAATTAATGCAAATGTATAATCAAACGTACCAATGAAAGGATGTAGTTGTTCTCATCTAGTGAGTGGATACTGGTCAGTTTTGCACCTTGACTGATACAATACTGTCCGGCATCGTACCAGTCAACAATAGCTGAGTCTCCGGACGAAGGGCTCGGTAAGTAACACGATCCATTGAAGAGTGACCACCCGGGGTCAGTTCCGCACAGGCTTGCTAGGGAGAAAATGAAATATTTAGTAGGTATAATAGTATCACACACATACATAATTGTTTACAAACAGTTTATCTCCTTTTTCTTTTAATTTCTATGATATATATTTATCCTACTATGTTAGCAGTAAATGAAGAAAAAGGCAAACAACAAATGTGAAATACAAAATCGAATACTTACACGTAATACCAGTCGGAGGCGGCAAAGTCGTCACAGGTGTTTGTCCTTTGAATATAGATAAATTAATTTTTGAACTTAGCTTTAATTTAATATATTCATAAATGGAAAAAAGGGATCAACTCCTAAGTATGTCGTACATTAAGTTAAAACAATAATTACAATGAAACTTAGTTACAGCTAATAATGTTTCCCTCGTGTTTCATTCCTACTCTAACTAAAATATACTTTCCCCTTCGGATAAGGTTGTTTACGCACATGCTTGCTCGCCTAAAACCTTACCCCTTCTTATCTCACAGATCCAGTTAGATGTGATGAAACAGTTGTTATCGTTCCAGCCTAACGATCCTGCGAAGATCTGTGTACAATCCTCGTTACCATTATAGTCGTTCGGCTCGTTAGGGTTCCAGTTCGAATAGTCTGTCCCTCTCCCGTCTGTCCACACATAACCTTAAGACAGACGACGTAAGCATTTGTCATATGTGGTTGAATAATTCCCTAGAGCACATGATCTACAACATGTATTCGTTTCACAAAGTAAACTGAATAGTAATTTATATCAGGACTTGTGTTTTTGAAATCAATCATGAGCAGCAAAAACAAATATATTTGGTGTATATATGATGTTATTGTCATTCATTTTTTGGTGATCAACTGAAATATAGTTTTTAGTCAAGAACAATATATGAAAGGCAGTTATTTGTTACTCACTTGGCTACAAAAACAAACACGTGGTGACTTAAGATTATGTATGAGCCTACCTGCTTCTGTGTCTCGATCATTTAACCCAATCCAAAAGGAACCAGTCTTCAGTCTGAAAAGGGAATCATGCAAGTAACAGACTAATAACGATAGACAAAAGGGATAAGTCATTGAGTATGGTATATTTTTAACATTCATGAGATCTCTCATAATCATTGCAAATTAAACAAAGTGTTTGGATCTGCATAAAACGATTATCATTCTGCCATTCTCTTAACATTAAAAGTTATTTAATAAAGTTTCCGTGGACACGCTTGTTTTGTTAATATTTTTTTATATAATTTGAAATTTAGGTTAATATTACTATTTTGTATACACTTCGATGTTCCCCTGCTTATTCATGTATGCCCACCTCAGTAGAGTACCGATGTAAACATTTTGTGCCTCCCTGTGTATGCTGGCGAGATCGCCCCCTAAACCGCGGCAGTAATCACGTGACTCAGTCCATGTCATCTTACCAAGGACGTTGTCGTTGTAAAACACCTTCAAATTAATGTTCAGACATTAGTTTTTATTATTGTAATTTGTTTGGTCACAAGGTCAGTGTTTTCAAATACTGTATTTAGCACGAGTCGAATATGCCGGAAGTGATTTATGTACACTGATGTATAAATCGTGCACGGCCTACCTTATAACACATTAAGCTGTTCGTAAATTGCCCTGACCAGCCAACTGGACATTGGACTGGGCGTAGTGTGGTGGTAGGGGGAGGCGTGGTGAAGCCCTTTCTGGGGTATTCACAGACGTAATGGTGGGTCTCGGTACAGTTCTTATTCTCCCATAGACCGATCGGTAATGACGTTGTCAGGGCGACACAGGTATTCCTCTCCCTACCTACAGAGTGGAAAGGGAGAAATGTAGGTTGTAAAGTAAATCAAATACTGTTATGCTGTGCCTTCAAATAAAGCACAATTCTCCAAACGCAGGAAAGCCCGAAAGTGCCTTTCAACCGAAAGCTAATGTTGTTATCTATACCCTACTTGATTCTTTTGTAATTTTACATACTATTCAGAGATATATCCAATATAGAGAATCAACAAATTTATTTCAAATATGCTATTTATCACAAGAGCCCGAAATGATGACGAATGTCTCAATTTCGGTCTCGTATCCGGAATATCTGATGAAGTCTCATATCCGTATTCGGCTAAATCAGGTATCGTTTCCATAATCTTCGTCAAATCAAAATCAGTCACTTTCTCAACGAGAAACCATAGTAAGTGACAACGAACCACAAGGCACACTAAAGGGTGCATTCATAAACGTCAACATGCATATCTCTCAGTTCAATTTCAATTTCAACAGATTGTATTGACTTTATATATGTCAATTGGATTGGACATCAGGATATAGTAGGCCTATTTTAATCCTTTCCAAACTTATTTCCAAACATAACATATATTCTGTCGTAATAATCCAAATAAATAGTATAGGGGAGATAACTCCAATTTAGTTTGTGAAATAGATATTTTTCAACTATTATTTAATCATTTTCTGTTTATGATTTGGATATTAACAATTAAATAAATCATGCACATTTGTTGACAACCCATCCTACATAAAATCCTAGGGACACAGGCCTTAAGTCACTGTGCATAAACACATTGACCGTCCATCCACTTGGTATACAGGAAAAGTTACGTAAGTTATGCATATTTCTTGCGAGAAAATGGAATATTTGCCAACGGGATAATGTAACGACCATTAAGTTTGTCAATAATCTTTATCAATCTGCATCTTATTTTAGCATGTGCTGTACCTTTAGTCGTCAGCTATCGACATTTATCACAAAAACTTGATTGCATGCCCATGAATATCGAACTATCTGCGACCATCCATAGGAGCAGTCGGCGTGCGCGTTATCATCAAGAAAGTAATGCAAAAAGATACCTGTGTGTGCACTTCCCCAGAAAGTGAAATCAACTTTGGTTCCATCCTTCCACAGATACGTTCCCGGCGTAACGGCATCGGACATCCCAATCCAGAACATGTCTCCCTTGTAATTCAGGTAATTAGCGACAAAGGCCTGGGTGTATCTGCCAATCAGATATACAAAGATAGTATATCTAGTAAAACTTACAAAGTGCATACTCTAAGATATTTGACTAAATTTTATGCTATTAATTTGTTCGTTTTTTGTTGTTGTTTTTTACTTAATTCATTATAATCGATTTGCCTTTAAAAATGAAGCAAAATATAATGAGGCAGTGCAAAAATATTATTATTTCCTCTTTTCGTTGTTTCATGATTTCGCCCCGCAGTAACAGAACAGTATCAATCAAAACTAAAACATACAGAAATGACGTATGTAGCAGCCATCATATTTTGACACAAAATGACAGAATCATAAAAAAACCACCATATAGCTCCTAAACCAGATATTTGGGTAAGTAAACGATATTGATGCTCGTTTTAAACGATGAAAATACTGACAAATGATCTATTTTCCCCATGGAGTGATGGTTTGTTATTGTATTTATCTAACTCGAGTTAGGTAATCTTAAAATTGTATAAAGACACGAGGTTAACCGAGTGTCTTTTACAAGTTGAAAATCGACTAACGAGAATGAGATAAATGCGATAACTAATCTTCATGAGTTTGGGGACTTGTTTTTCACATAACAATCGTAAATTTATCCGAAAATCCACAACCCCCCCTGGATCATGTGTTTCCGATCGGGTAAACAATTGGCATGGAGCAAGATGTCACAATGAAAAATGTCGTCGAAAAGCATTGTTACGTGACGTTATAAATCAAAGATTGACCAATGAAATCACGTCCATTAGTAGGTTATCAAAAATGTTTATCATCTCCGAGAAGGTTTATCCAATGAGTCGTGAGTGAGGAAACCTACCGTGGTTGTGGGAGAAACGTATGTCTATCTGGATACATAACGGACTTCAACATGAATATTTCAACCACATATTATGTAAATAGGTCATTTGAAATATTCCGCGCATAAAATTGAATACACCAAATTGACGTCCTCTCCATTGACATGAATGCTTATTCTATTTTCAGTCACTACACTACTAACACTTGTCTACGTGTCCGTTCGGTGACCCGTACAACAACCCGCTAGTGTAAATACTATACTTTTAAAAATAAATTAAATTGAAGATGTTGAATGCATTACAATTAATAGGTTTAAAACATTAAAATCAAAAAGATGTTATTGTACGTCGCGTTTACCATACCTGTCATTGACAATGGCAAGTGTACCGTTGAAACGAGCAGCACAATCTTTTATTGCATTCGACCATGTCTTCAGAGCGCCTGCCACATAGAAGTAGCATGATGCTTGATATCCAACTGCAGGCTAATAGAGAAAAACAAGACAAGTATATCACAACATCAATTCAAAACAGACAAACTCTTAAATCAAGATATATACGAAAATAAAACCAGTTATACATAGAATGCTTTCAAAAGTCTAAACATGACGTTTTCCTATTGTATATTACCCATTGTATATTACCTATTGTATGTTACCAATTATTTACAGGTAGATATTTGGTGAAATAAAAATGATAGCAGAGAGTTTTGCTCTTATACATAATATATAAACTAAATACTGAGTTTGCAAACTAAACAGAGAAAATACACTTCAGATATTTGTTTCTCTGTGCTTTAGAGTTTACAAGAATGCTGACCTATCTTTACTTATACCTACTGATACACGAAGGTCATGTAGCCAGATTGTCTAGTCACTGCTGGTCTTCACAAAAATGCAAATTCATCTTTTCATTTATTTAAAAGTGATTTTCACATCATATGACACACATTTAAGACTTTAACGTAACACAGTTCATCTCTTCCTCTATGTACAAGAGACATTTATGTAATAGAACAGCTGTCATAAAATACAAATCTGTCTGGTAAATATCACTAATACATGACTGACGGTAAACTAGTATTTGTAGACATGTATAAATATCTATGTTAATTTTATTTAGAAATTTAGACTAAATTCTTATGATAAGACAGTCATCTTACTAATGTACATCCGACAGTTTGGGGACTCTGGGTGCTTGACACAGCCTGTTTTGGTCGCTTACAGATGACACCATTCTGCGGATCATTGCACGTACCATCATTCCATTTACCGCCCTATATATCAAACATATATCTGTTATGTCAACAATAAACAAACATGTCTTGTTACTGGAAAAAAAAAATGTCTGGTATATAACACAATATAATGACACGAGGAAAATATAACAATAGGTAAATGACGCTTACAAAAACGAATGCAGTTCGTGCTTTCCAGACAGGTCAAGATTGTAAAGCGGATACAAATCAAGGAGCTGGTTTACAATGACATTGATATGTATGCAAATTTATCTTATTAGTTTCTCAGTATTAAATAAAGTGTGTTCCTAACTTTCACTCTAAGTTCCATTTTATGGGTGGTTACTGTGGATTCTAGCTAATGCTCTGATCCTTGTAAATTATTAATGGTTCAACAGACGAGGCAAGTCATGTCGGTTTGATAGACTCCATATCACATCCAACTTTATCAGTTGTCTGTGTTTAATTTTGTCCGTGAATATGAGTTTCAGAAGGAGTGGCTTAAGATGTATATAGTCAGTCAACACTTATATTAGTTCAGGAACATTTTCTGTGTAATTAAATACCATACTTACATTTAAGTATAAAAGGACACAGTCCTCCCTATGACCGGCGAAGTTGTTTGGCTCCCTAGGTGCCCACGCGGTGAAGGTCACCTTACTACCGTCAGACCACTGGAAATTGTTCTGAATCAACTGGTCGTTCAGTCCGATCCAGTAGCCTCCAGTACGATCTAATACAAGTGTGTCACAAATATATTCCTTCTGTCAGACATTTTATAGTAACATAAAAACAATGACGGGTAGATACGAAGTAGTCAAATAATTAACCAATCGTTTATTCTTATTTCTGAAAAAATAGTTTTGTTGATCTATTTTAATCAATATAACTTATGTATAGTTGTATCAATTGAATTGAATTATCAAAAAGGGCGCGATACTAATCTATCAAGATGATTATTTGTGCTTACTAGCTGGTAGTTGGCTGACAAGGAAGTTCTGGTCAGCTTGACTGGCTACTGAAGCAAGGTATCCCCCATGTTGCCGACACAGTGATCGACCTTGGTTCCAGTTTAGTTTCCTGTTTATAAGTTGATAGCATGATGTCCCATGGGGTTTCCAGTAGTTTGGACAGCCAAGTACCATTCCAGCTAGAAAAGTAAATTACGAGTCATCAACTTTTGTATTATTCCCTATAACTATGACGTATGACGACCATCAGGTCCTGTTAAAGTTATGGATAAAATGTTCAGTAATGTTGAACAAAGTTGAACTTACTTACGGATCCGATCATTCTTGACGGCTTTTTTTTACTTCATTTAAGCTATCGAGACAATACATATAGTAAGATATCTTTACAAAGCTATGTTCAATAGGAGTTACATACAAAATATCCCACTTGCTTAAGAATACATTTTCATTAACGATCACGAGACATTATTAATATTAAAAACGGCAAATAGGTGTGGTTACCTCCTTCCTATAATTGATAATTCTCTTTTTTTCAGTAACTTGTTTATACTTGGAATTGCTAAACTAGGTTATGAAGAAGAGATGTAGGGAATTTATAACTATTCGATTTTTAAATAACCTGGTTCAATATTTTATAATTTTCTATGTATTTTTCTTAGTGTTACCTGGTACGTGTACTGTCGTCGAGGGCGGGACGGTCGTATGTACTCTTCCTGTACAAAAAAGCCCAGAGAAATAAGTGTATATCAATAGCACATTGTCTTCACCGGTATACTTAAATTGTGTTAAGCTATATATAAAATCTCCTAATATCCCTCATTTCTGTCAAACATACATGTTCTGATAAAAAGCTCTCTATTCTCCCTAGTTTATGGTGGCCATTCGGAGTTCGGACCGACCTAAGGAATAGAAGCATTTGTTAGGGGAGTGTTAGGACTATTTCTACTTCATTTATTAATATAGGTTTAGTGGAACTTGAAAATGAAGTAGGGAATGTTTTAGCTAATAAGGACCCATTGCAGCCATATCGGATTTCGGATCAATGAACAAAACTTGATAGGGTCACACGGGGATTAGGTGTACTAGATTTGGTTGAAAGTTAAAAAAAATGACCTTAGATTGCTTATCAAAATCATAATAACTTTACAATTTGTTGGAGGTCAAAGACAATTCATTATTATCAAGTATTTCATAACCATATCGTGATATATGGATGTAACAAAAAATTAAATATGACCATTACATTTATATCATCTTATCATTGTACAACAAAGTATCTGGTGTTAACTTTAAGAAAAGTATGTCAATTTATCAGTAACATTATTCAAATAGTTATAACATGCAATTACAAAGTATTTCGTAAAGACGTTCTTACCTAGCTTTTTACATATATAGCCATTTCTCTGTGTGCACGGAGAGTCATTCCATGTGCCTTTCTGTGTGAAGATGGCTCCACAGTCTTCATTATGATGGTAATCATTCGGCTCACCTGTGTACGAGGTAAGGGTTTACGGAAAATCAATTAAATAACGCGACAATTAATTGATGAAATCTGTCAGAAGATGCGCACTACGAATCAACAGTTACCAGTTTTTTCTTGGGAGGGTACGAAATTCCGTTATACCTAATTTACATTATTCTAGGTGTCCCTCAATTAATATCCTTACAGTGTGATACATACGTCCATAGAGTAAAGGACTTCGTACTTAGTGACGATCATGAGACCAACTAGAACAAATATTTGTGGTTAGTACATGCATTCAGATCTAATTTATAAAATGCAAGATAAACAATCTTTCCATGATTGAATCCATAATGTTAAACTTTGTAAAAGTTGAGCTGAATTAGATACAACTTGTTCTTAGGAAATAAATGAGTCTTGAAGGGCTTAAGTGCATGTTATGAACGATGCTGAAAGGAAGAAAGACATGGCAACAACTTTGAACTATAGTTCATTAGTTCAAAGGGACTCGACTGGTGTCATCATTGTAATCCTTTTGTATGTATGGATATCAAAATAAAAAGTAAACAATACAAACATACGTTGCCAGTGTATATATGAGGATATCTATGCAAATGTACGAACCTGATTGCCAATTAAGATAGGCAAACGGTGAACGGTCAGTCCAGGACCAACCACCTTCCGACCCTCGGTCATTCGCTCCGATCCACATCGCTATAGACACCATTGTTCGGATACGGCCTGAAGTAATCAATGGAATATTGATTTGTTATAAAGCATACTTATACTTGTTTGGACCCTCGACTTGTTTATATTGTAAATTGGACTTGCAAATTTCAATTTAAAATTACACTTAATATGAATATTGCCTTCAGACATCATCTCAAACAACCAGTGAATATGAATAGATAAATATTGTCGTTTGCGATAAAGAAAACAACCTTTAAATTGTTAAAGTCTAATATGTCTCACCTGTAATATAAAACTGTTCCTCCCTGGACGCAATACTGAGAAGGTCTCCTCCCTGATGTCTACATGTCGTCCGGGCGTCATTCCAGTCTAGCTGTTGGTCCTGGAACTGGTAACAGTAGTTCGAGTTAGGATCCTCTTCCCACAACAGGCCGCACTTTATACTGTAAGGCACTGAAATATATACAAAATTATATATGATACAGGCCACACTTTATACTGTAAGGCACTGAAATATATACACAATATATAATATAGGCCAAACTTTATACTGTAAGGCACTGAAATATATACAAAATTATATATGATATAGGCCACACTTTATACTGTAAGGCACTGAAATATATACAAAATTATATATGATACAGGCCACACTTTATACTGTAAGGCACTGACATATATACACAATATATAATATAGGCCAAACTTTATACTGTAAGGCACTGAAATATATACAAAATTATATATAATATAGGCCACACTCTTTAATGTTAGTCACACAAAGTCATAAATAATAATGGCCACACTTTATACTGTAAGGCGCTGAAATATAAACAACGTTATGAATGATACTGGCAACAATTTGTACAGTAAGGTACTCAGATTTAAACACAGTTATGAATAATACAGGCCACGCTTTATACTATAAGGTACCGAAATATATACAAAGTTATAAATGATACAGGCCACATTTAATACTATTATGCACTGAAGTATAACCAAATAATCTGGAGGCATTGCAGTTCAATGCACGACAACGTTGTAGCATGGTTATTAGACTATATCTTAATTATACAGCCTTACACTCAAACTATGGCCCTTAACCATATTGAGGTCGCAAGATTCGACATATTACTGATTGAGTACTTACGTGCAGTTGTAGATGGGGCTCCGGATGGCAGTCCCGAATTCCCTGTAGGTAAAATAGAAGAATCATGTACTAAATAGTCAACAGACGGGAAACTAAATGTGATCGAGACACTCACACAAATGGCAAGACATCAAGTCCCACAATAACGTAAAATGGAGGCAACACTAGTAATCCTTGCAGATACAAACCCCCCACAACACTAGTAATCCGTGCAGATACAAACCCCCCACAACACTAGTAATCCGTGCAGATACAAACCCCCACAACACTAGTAATCT